GGAGATCTGGGACGACAAGCCGCTGAACGTCACGCTGGTGCTCGACGCCTCGGGTCGATGGCTGACGGAAACCGAGTGGCGATCGCGCGTGAGGCCGCCGAGAGCATCAGGCGTAGCCTCCGAGACGAGGACCGCATCGCGGTCGTCCACTTCACTACTGAGGTTATCCACAATCTGACCGTCGAGCATGACAGCCCTGGCTCCAAGGCCGTCAAACGGTCGATCAACAAACTTGAACCTCATGACAGCACCAACGTGCAGGCTGGTCTCAATCTGGGCGTTCAGCTTGCCGACGAAGTCCGCCGCGAAAGGCCGGACGCGCTCACTACATCGTGCTGATGTCGGACGGCGTCGCCAACGTCGACGCGACCGACCCGTTCGCGATACTGGAGTCGGCCGCCGACAGCGACAATGCCAACCCGCTGCGACTCATCACCATAGGCGTCGGGATAAACAACTACAACGACTACCTTCTGGAGCAGCTTGCCCAGCACGGAAACGGCTGGTATCGCTACCTGAGCGACACCGGTGAGGCCAGGGCAACGTTCAGCCGCGAGAGCTGGCTGGCGCTGTCCATCCCGTTCGCGGACCAGACTCGCGCGCAGGTCCGCTGGGACCCGGACGTTGTCGAGGCCTGGCGCATGATCGGCTACGAGAACCGCGTCACCTCGGACGAGTCGTTCACCCAGGCGCGGAAGGAGTTCGCGCGAGATTCCGATGGGCGCGCAGACGACGGTCTTCTTCGAGCTAGAGCTGGTAGATGATGGCAACGGACTCGGCTCCGGCGCCGTGAAGCTGGGCGAGGTGGAGCTGAGATGGGTCACTCCCGATACCGGCGACTCGAACCGCCAGCACGCCGCCATAGTGGACGGCGGGACACAGACTCGATGGAGTCCGCGCTACTGGAGTTCGGTGCGATAGTGGCGCTGTCATCCGACCGCTACAGCAGCCTGCCCCACCTCGATAACTCCGAGTCCGGCTACGTGCGCGATAGTCTGGAGACGCTGATAGACCAGATGTGGCCCCTGGAAGACCAGCTTGGCAACCTGCAGTCATACCAGGACTTCGCGTTCCTGCTGGAGCACATCACCGACGCGGTCGATGGTCACGTAGCATCGCGGGGTTCCGGGTACAACCGGTAAAGGATGGGAAGGCGCCGCTGGGCCGGGCGTACAACCGACCCAGCGGTGCCACAATATCTGTTCAAGCGGGCGCGACAGACGCTAGTAAAACGTGCACCCCACGCCATGTTAGCCGATGACCTCGTCCCCGTCCACCACCACCGGGGTTATCTTGTCCCCTCCATCAGGCTTAGCCCGCGCCTAAGAACAGCTTTCCAGAATCCCCACTATGCCGGCGGCAAGCACCGTTCCAAAACTGAACATAGCGAATATCAGCCGGTCTAATCGCTGTTCGATTGTGCCCAGACGCTTTTCGATGCTGCTTACTTGACCTTCAAGCCGCCCGAGGCTTCGGAATACATCCTCTGTGTCTGTTGCCACAACCATAGTTCTAAGCTTTTCACCTCAGCATAATAGCATCAATTGCTCCACGCACCAACCTTGCACAGGTGGCGTGCCGCCCTAGTAAAACGTGCAGCCCACGCCGTGATAGCCGATGACCACCTCATCGCCGTCCACCACCACCGGGGTTATCTTGTCCCCGCCCGTCAACTCCTCAACCTCGGGCCAGCGTTCCGGGTGCTCGCCGAGATCGACCTCCTCGTACACCTTGCCCTTCTCGTCAAGCTCCATCTTTGACCGACACGCAAATCGTGCACTCAGGATGAGTGTATATCAATACGGCGCCCTCAGCCATAGCAGCCGATGCCGTTGAACCCGATTGTGACCTCGTCCCCGTCGATCATCACTGGGCTGATGCGCTCGCCGCCCGTATGGGGCAGCACTTCGCCCCAGCGGTCGGGGTGCAGCGAGAGGTTGACCTCTTCGTATTCGACGCCGTCGCTGTCCAGCTGCTCCTTGAGCATGTCCGTGTATCCACAGCCCAGCGTGGAATAGACGGTGACGGCGCTTTCGGTTGTGGTCATTGCTTCTCCCTAGAGACTATCTGATGAACAGAGTCCTCCTCTCCCTTGATGGGAGAGGACTGAAGCCTGCTCCGTACGCCGATACGGGGGTGAGGGTGAAAGTCTCCTCCTGAGTTTGGAGATGGCCACTCAGGACGGTCGCTCCCGACGCTCGATCTCACGCTCCTCTGCCTTGTGGCGCAGCGGACGGCCCTTGTCCGGGTGCGGGTCCTTTACCATCCCGTACATCTCCAGACCTTCGTGATCCTCGGGGAGATACTCCGTAATCGGCAGGCCCTCCTCGTCCACGAACAGCAGGCAGTGACAGTACTTGTATATCTGCATATCGTCGCAGGCGCAGATCCACGTGCGGTGCTTGATCTCCTCGGTCTTGTCCGGGTAGAACCGGCATGGACACAGGGGGCGTTTGATCTCGTCGACATTCTGAGCCAGGCCCAAGATGACGGACTCGGTCACGCCCTCGGTAGGATGCGTGTATGTCCCCGACTTCTCGGTGAACTTCTCGACGAACCGTCGCATCTTCTGCATAGACTTTTCGCTTGGTTGCTCCAACGATCGCCTCCTGGCCCTCTATCGAGCGGGCCGCCTATCGCTAACGTTTCCTGACTCTACGTTAAGTCCAGTCCGCCGCCGTGTCAACCGCCCCACCCGTCATTCCAAGCGGAACGGTCGACCTGGATACCCGCCCAAGGCCATGTGGCGGGCAGTCTGCATGAAGTACCTACTCGCCGAGCGGTTCACTGTCGGGTTCCTGGAGCGTCTGAAGTCCTCGCCCAAGCTCCAGCGGATATGCGGCCTGACAGCTATACCCTCCGAGAGCACGTTCAGCCGGTTCTTCTCTCTGCTGTCCGACTCCATGGACACCGACAACGCCATCGCGGAGATGGTCGGCAAGCTCAAGGCACATCTCCCGGACTTGGGCGAGGACGTGGCTATCGACTCCACTGACATCGAGGCTTACGCCAATCCGAACAGCCTGCCAGTCACCGACCCGGATGCCGTGTGGGGTCGGAGGACTACCAAGGCCAAGTCGAGCAAGGGTGCGAAGGACACGGAGCCGTTCTTCGGATACAAGCTACACGCCTTGAATGACGTGGTCTACGGCGCGCCTCCGGCCCATGTCCTGCTACCTGCCAACAGGAATGACTCGCCACAGCTTCCGGGCCTGGTACGGAAAGCTCAGGGCATGTAACCATGGTTGAAGCCGAAGCACCTGATTGCAGACAGGGGCTATGACGCTCAATCGAATCATGTCTTCCTAGCCTAGCGTGGGATCGCCCCCATCATCCACACACGCAAGACAATCGCAGCCGATGGGCTGTACGACGGGCTGTACAACAAGAAGGGGGCTCCAGTCTGTGATGGCGAGACTTCAATGGAGTATCTCGCTACAGACCCCAAGTCGGGGCACCACCTGTTCCAGTGTCCGCCGGCAGGATGCAGCCTCAAGAAGCGGAGCAGCGGCGTGGTCCGATACTGCAACACGAAGGCTCACTGGGAGGACCCGGCCACTAACCTACGGGTGTTGGGAGTGGTCTCTCGGTCTGACCCGCAGTGGCGCAGGCTCTACCGACGCCGGCAGGTGATCGAGAGGATGTTCAGCAGCTTGAAGCGGTCCAGGTTGCTCGACAGGCACCAGCACGTGAGGAAGCGGAAGATCGAGGCACACGTTGGACTGCCCGTGCTGACTTACTTGGCCACAATGCTGGCACGGGTACAGTCCGGGTCCTCAGATAGGATTCGACACATGAGGCTTAGGGTCGGACTGTGACGTTGACCTATCTGATTTCTACGTTCAACGCCTTCAGGATGTTACCAACCTGTTCCTCGTTAGGCAACCCGTCAAGAAGCACTCCGTTGCTAACGTTGTGCAGACTTACTCCTATGGGCTTCCCGGGGTTCAAGGAATAGTCCACTGATCTGTCAGCATCCAGCTTCTCTGCGTATGCGGCTTGTCCAATCTCAAACTCGATGGCGACTGCATCTACTTCGGTGTCCATGAGTATACGCATCACAGGTCTCCTCTCGCAACGCTTACGTCCGTGACCGAAGTGGCACTGGTTCGAACTACAACAGTTTTGCCAGTGCCCAGGACAGCCTCGTGATCAACGAAAGCATCGTTATCAGCTTCGGAGTGATCAACGCGGCAGTTGCTCAAGATGAAGTCGACGTCGTGGGCAGTCAGATTGAATCGCTCCATGCGCCAGCGCGCGAAGTTGGTGAGGGGAGTACGGATTCCCTCAGAAGACATGCAAAAATCAGGACTCAACAGAAAACTTGTGCATAACCGATAATGTGGGCATTCTACACACATCGTGAGCGTTCGTCAAGACAGAGATGCCCGGAGAGGACGCACCGCACGGTTCAGCACAGGATGGGACGCGGGGTGGGATGCGGCACATGAGGGTCAGGATCGGAACATAACGCTTGACGCAGAACTGATATTCGTATAGAGTCAGATCGACTTCCCACAAGTCATGCCTTTTTGGGGCAAACTGGGTATGAGCAACCCGAGCAAGGTTGGTCGTTCTATGCCTCCTTGTGGCTCATACCCGGACTAGGTCGACTTGTGGGAAGAGAAGACTGGTCCTTGCCGCAAGGGGGCTACCATGTTGTTACGCATACTGATTGCCGCGATCATAGTTTTGTTCGTGTTGGCCTGCGAGGAAGAACCAGATCAACCGGCTCCCGCCACGCCCACCGTGGCAGTCACAACGTCGGACTATGTGAGCCGTCCGACGCCCACACCTTACACTAGGGCGCCGACGCCGGTCAGGGCCAGCACCGGGCTGGGCGTATCAGCAAGCAAGGTGGAAAACCTATTCAAGGACTCGTATGGAGCATTTGATTCCTTTGGCCCAGACGAGAGATCGGCGATGTTATTCGATGGGGGTGGCGGGGCCATCACTATGAGCCTGTTCGGACCCCAGAGCGACCTGGAGTCCATAGCCGTCCACTTCAGCGGGGTCAATGCACCGATTATCGTATCTATGACAGTAGGGGGGCTAATAGAGACGCTGGCACCAGGCCATGAGGATCGTGTCACGAAATGGCTGGACGACAACTACCCAACTGGGAAACGAGAGACAATTAGGTCGAGTGCCGGAAACCTGGCGCTCACGCTTGATACGGGCAGTTTCGGAGAGGGATGGATAGCAGAGGTATTACTAGAACCCAAATAGCGAGGAGAAGACTATGTGCGAAGTTCAGACAGAGTACCGAGAACAAATGCTACCCGACTGGACCAGCCCTGAAAAGAGACAGGAGAAACGTGCGGCATACTGGTCAGCGCGCTGTGACTACCTAGAAGGGAAACTTGAGGCGCTTAGCGCGTTTACGCTCGCACTTGTACGCCTCATATCCCCCTCCGTCGATGAACCGTCCGTCGGGAAGACGACCGACATAGAAGTCTCCAGAAAAGAACCTGTCGTCAACCCGCTCAATCTGTCTCTGGATGCGCTTCCGGTTGAGCCGCCAGGCGCGCCATCGCAAGGTGACGGATACGGCCCAGTTTGCTGATGGCTGGAAAGAAATGCGTGGAACGCTGAAGTGTGAATTGCATGACTAGCTCTCCCTAATGTGCTTTTCCCTCGACCGGTTTCGGGCCGGGGACTTTTGCAAGTTTCTCAGACAAAATCCCCCCTTGACAACCACCAAGACCATGCACTACAGTTCTTTTCAGAGAGAACCTATGAACCAGACAGCCCAACACATCTCACCCAACCCGGCCCAGCGCCTAGCCGACAAGATACTCGCCCGCACCAACAACGGGCAAGACCTTATCGACCTGCTGCACGACATCGGCAAGGGCCGCTACGACGCCAACAAGAACGACCGAATCACCGCCTCCAACTACCTTTTCGATAGAGGATACGGCAAATGCCCCAGGCAGTCGCCCTGCAGCCAACCCTGACCAGGAACATCCTCCCGCAACCGACGACAACGACGTAGCGGCGCTTCGTGAAGCGCCCTCCGCCGTCCCCCATACCGAACCCGAGTCCCCCAGGCTCGTCACACAGATCGACGACGCACTGAACGAGTCCCTTGGACCCGCTCCCAGCGCTCACGCACCCACCCATCATTCCGACTCATCCACCCGTCATTCCGGCGAAGAGCCTGCCCCGTACCCGATACGGGGCCGGAACCCAGAGGGGTGGAGCGGGGCGTCGCATCACGCCTCACAACCCGTAGGGGCGGGTTTCAAACCCGCCCGTCCCTCTGATTCCCCAGAGACACCAGAACCTTTCGACCCCTCTTATATCCAAGCCTACATTATTGAGATCACCAACGACGGCGACACCCTCATCGATACCCTCATGGAGATAGCCTACGCCGCCGATGACGACACGACCGTTACATCCCACCACCGCACCAGGGCCGGACGAATCCTCGCGGACCGCGGCATGGGCACAGACCCCAACGCTCTCCGCAGCGCAGTCTGCCCCGACTGCCGTCGAAAGTGGACGAACCACCCAGGTTCACACGATCGCCCTGAGCCAAGCGGCGTCATGGACGAGACCGAAGAAGAACCTTTCGACAAAGAGGTCTGGGAAGAAATCATCGCCGAGCTCAACCAGATGGAAGAGGCAGGCATTATCACTCCCGACCCCGATGCTCCTGAAGTCGACATGTCCGCCTACATGAAGTGGACGGATGAACAGATAGCTCCCTACGCCGCTGAGGCGGCTGCCAAGCTCTGGAATGACATCGATTTGCGGCTTGAGCGCCAGAAGCAGTGGCCGGAGATAGAAGAACGCAGACGAAAGAAGCTCGCGCAGATCTACCCTTCCCACACCGACGGCGAACAACCGGATACATAGGATGTCATTAGATACTGAAACTCTCAGCACACTCAGCAGCGCTGACCGTGTGAACACGATTGCCAAGCATCTCAAGTCCATACCGCTCGCCCAGCGCGCCGGCGTAATGGAGACAGTTCAGCGCGGCCTAAAGGAACGTGAAGCCGCCAGGCTGACGTACAACTGGCCCCTCCACGCCCGCGACTCCCAGCTGCCCCCCAAAGGCGACTGGGACACCTGGCTCATCCTAGCCGGCCGAGGCTTCGGAAAGACTCGCACCGGCGCCGAGTGGGTCCGCGCGCAGAGCCTGCCCCGTACTCCGATACGGGGTCCAAGACGGCCACGCGCACCGCATCGCCCTTGTCGCCCGTACCCTCCCCGAAGCACAGTCCATCATGATCGAGGGCGAGTCCGGCATCATCAACGTCTCACCACATTGGGACCAGCCCACCTACGAGCCATCCACCTCTACGACAAGTTCAACGCCACCATGATAGTCGTCGAGGACAACGCCGGCGGCCAGATGGCCGAGTCCACCATCAAGAACGCCGTCGACCGCACCCTCCCCGTCAAGACCGTCCGCGCCCGACGCGGCAAGTACATCAGGGCCGAACCCGTCGCCTCCCTCTACGAGCAGAGCCGCGTCCACCACATAGGCCGCTTCCCAGACCTCGAAGACCAGATGTGTACCTGGAACGCCGACCTCGGCCCGTCCCAATCACCCGACCG